AGCCTTTTTTGGGCCAGTCACTAACTGAAGACGAATTATCGAATAGGATACAACAAAAACAGAAAACCGCATCATTTTTTACAGAATACATTAACCAGCTTCTCTCAACAACTGATTCTCCATTGCTTAATACTTTCAAATAAAGCGAGGGTGAAAATCTTTGCCTGTCTTTATTAAGAGGAAATTCGATTTCTTTAATTTGATATGGTACCCTCTCAACAAGTATTTGACGGATTTTCGATTCCATGCAGGCAACATTCCATAAGGCAGGATCAGCAGACACTTCATTTAAACTTTGTTCACTGCCACGAGTGCCACGGTCACTACTGCCCGGTTGTTTCGGGTCGGGTGTGGATGGTACATTATGAATTTCTGATGACGTTTCCTCGCTACCTAAGCTTTCTTCATCAATTTCTCCCGATTGGAAGACCACTGAATTTTCATTGGTATCTATCAAATCCAAAGTCGCCAAAGAGGATGTAGAATGGCTAGAAGGCTCACCAAGCGGCTCATCTTGATTGGATTTTTGTGTTAAAAATCCTTTCAAAGCATAGCTTAACTTTCTTTCCTCTGCTTTTTTCAATAAGCGTTTGTTTTTATATTGACTTCCTGATAACTTTTTCCTTTTCTTGTCCATACTGACACTAATTATTAAAACATTAAGAAATGAATAATCACTAAAATTCAAGAAAAAATTAACAGTTTCCCTTACCTGATCTACTTTTCTTGTATCACAAAAAGTTGTTGATTGAGTAAAGATGCAAAAATAGGAAAATACTTCTGATTTAATAGTAATCCACAGACAGTCACGAGTGTCACGAATCAGAGCACTGCAATACGATACGGCGCAACTGACGCAACTCGCTGCAACTCGCACAACATTCACCTACTTGCTTTTGCAGTTTTGACCGCTAGAATAGCGCGCACTAGAATACAGGCGGACCCATCCATAACCCAACATTCGCCATTTTTTGCCAGAATTCAGATAGGCAAGACGACAGCCAGGGCTGGCGCCTGCGTATTTGCAATCAACGGTATTTGCGAGCGCGATAATGAACTCAATAAATTTATCTTTACATTATGGCGAATTAAAAAATTGCGCTAGGTAGTATAGGTTTTCCCTAGATGTCCTTAATTTTAAGATTGAATTTAATTATTTTGGATTAGTTTTAATCCAATTCGTCAGACATTTTTTAATTGATGTCAGTCTAGGATTTTGGTAAACTCTGGAAAAAAATTTCCTTATTTCCTTTGGATTTATGCCGCCCCATATTGTGCCGCCTGAGGCAGCCGCCTCTTCGCCTCATAGCACGGCACGGCCCTGAATCAATCGTACTTTATCGGTATAACACTGTTGTGACAGAGTTAATCTTGGTTCAATGTTTCTAGGTTGATTAGTAGGAATTTATTGTTTTCGATAGACCTTGGCAATTACCTTGTGTTTAATGGTGGGAATGAATCTATTTTTATTCTATCTATTTATTTCTTTTCAAGTCAAATAGTATTTAGTATTTAAATACTTTCAGTCTTTATTAGGTATTTAGTATTTAGTATTTAAATACTTTTTGAAAGTATTTTGCCCAGCTCTGACATCAGGTTGCCTAAAAATTGTCATCATCGCCTGTACTGTACGCGATAAATGTATCGCGAATGACGTCATGAAAGTGGAATTCTACTTGTCATGATTCCAGCCCTGGATTCCCTACAGGGCCTTTATTGTCGAAACAGGAGATAAGTTCTGTCTTAGTTGCCCATATTTCTATTTCCATAACACTGACAAAGACAGAGCAATCGTTCTTTCTCGTGAGAACGCTGTTCCCCGGTTTCACGAATAGGCATCCTGGTATACAACGTTGCCGTCTCTTTCAAAATTTAATTTTTGTTTTTTTTATATCTACGAGTTTATTTTTTTTTAATTTGTTTTTATCGGTCCCTTTAGAATCTGGTTGTGTGGGGGCCCCTCAGCTCTGGGGGCCCGACGCACAGTGCGTCGTTTGCTTCATGCTAGATCCGCCACTGTACTTCGGTGTATTTCTGAAAAAAGCATGTTCATTTCATCGATTAATTTGTTCAACACTGTACGGTTTTCCCATAGAGGTATGGAAAACACTAACTGATTAATTATAAGATTAGTAACTTTGGGAGGCACCTGCGCTAAACGGTTGAATACTGATTCGTGTATTTTTTTACCTAGTATCGCATTCCTCAGACCTCCACTGGACCTCCACTAACAATGCTCTCCAAACCACGTGATTTTTCAATATGGCGACCGTGGAAAATTTGACGTTTGTTTGTTTATCTGGAGTTTATTTGGAATATTTTCAAGCTAATTACAGTTTACTTTGTTATAATATACTTATTTAAGATGCAGAGTGAATTTTTAAAGACTTGAATGCAGGAAAATCGGGATCTGGGCGAACGGTTAGTTTAAAAAAATGTCCAGATGACATTTTGATCCACAGTTCACATTAATGAGCAAATGAAGGCCTACAAAAGCTTAGATTCTTACGAATTTCTTCGAAAATGGCTTTATTTCAGATGCAGGAACAGTAGTAGTGAAAAAAAAAGCTTTAAATTACATACTCTCATATACGGGATAATGAACTTCCGCCACAACCATAGACGCACTTTTTGACAGGTCGTTGGAATGCCTAATTACATGATCCAGTTTTATATAGTTCCCTGTCAAATTCAGAATCCGTTCCGTAATATCCTCCATTTCCGCATATGTGCTTCACAAATGAAATAATTTTGAATTTCTTGAGACTGGTTGCAGTCCGTCAAGAATTTGTGAAGATCGACAGTGGAACTGTCTCCTAAGAAGCATTCTAGGTTGATTGTTGCTCTTATTATTTTCACTTTCATTATTATTTGTGCAAGCCTTCTTCATTTGTTACATGTCCTGATTCTTGACTCTCCTTTTGGCTACCTTGTTGACCAATATTTGAGTGACTAAAGTAACTGAATTAGATTTCGCACATTGGCCATTGTTATCCAAAAGTCTGTTTCTTAAATCAAACAAAAAGTTCATTTTGTACATTTTTGTAATCCTGAAACATTAAAGTGACCAGATCTTGAAATTCCAAAAGCGAGACATATTGTAGGTACTAATTTCACAACATTATTTGAAGGAATGTTATTTTTATCGAAATAATTAAAAATGTCTGCCCATTTAAGTAAGATCTTCGGGAGTTTTTTGCTCAGTCCAAAAAATAAGCTTACTCTCAGAAATATAAAGTCTGTTCCAACACGTCAAAACCCGTCCCATGAACGGTTTGGAAACTACCTCCTTTTCAGATATTATTGGCATAGCATTATCCATGGAAATTTGGCAGGTTGACCCTCGTATAATAATGACATTTGATGACAAAGTATTTTTTAAATTTCAGGGTTATGAAACAGAAAGCCGAGCTGCCAGAATGTGTAAAATATCTGAGTAGATTCAGTTCAAAAATATTTTTCCAAATTAGTTAAAAAAAAAAATGGGTAGTGAAATTATTTAATTTATTTGAAATAAAATAAATCCAACGTTACCATAACAGTATAAAAAATATGTTTTCGCAGTGACTTTTTTCTTGGGTTTGGTTCAACAAAAATATTGGTTGCTGGTTGTAAGAAATGGCTTTACATCTGTATTTAAACTATACCTACCCCAAATGTATCTGGTAGTTGGACTTAGGCTTTGCGTAGAATTGTGATGGTACATTGTACGACTTCCTGCTGTGTTGGAACAAAGCTATAATTATCAACAAATTGAGTCACATCAAATAAATAATTTTCTATTATTGTGCATTTAGAGAATTTTTGGAAAGAGACTCAAAACTTTTTTGTACTCGTTCCCAGGTAGGAGCTTTTTTTTAAAGAAATCTAAGCAAAATCCGATATGCACTCATAATGAGTGCTATACTGGTTGAAATATTCTAAACAATTAGCGTAAACGTTTTTAAAATAAATAAGTGAAAGTTGATAGTTGGAATGGATTTATTGAAATCGGGACAAGAGAGGACGCTTATTAAATCGGGATTCGTAGCTCGAAATCGGGACTGTTCCGCCTTAATCGGGAAGGATGGTTACTTTATAACATTGAAAACCACCGTAAAACGGTTCGCAAGCTCCTAAATAGAGCAGAAAGGACTCAAGATATGGTTCACTGAGGAGATTACAGATCTGCCCAAAGGAACTACAAAATTGAAAAACTCACAAAGGGACACATATAGAGGGGGCGATACTGATACTGATTATTTCACTTATTATTAAATGGACCAATGAGACAACACCATTTTCTGAATAAATTTTGTTTAAGAAAATAATTATTTACAAAATTGTTGAAGAATCAAAGTGGGATAATCTGGCTCTCGTGATCGCTCTGATCCGTCCCACTACTATTGTGTGATGTGATGAGTGCCACGCCTACTCATTGCTAAGCATATCGATTCGAAAGACGTATTATCAAACGCGCCTTTATTGTCTAAGAAGACTTCCATCATGGCCTATCCTCGGTCCAGCGCTTCCTCCAATCTGTCCACTAGGTGGTGCAGCGCTGTTTCTGAGGACTTACCAGCCTGGTAGGCATATTGATGCTGGCACAGGAAGTATTGCCCCAATGCCTCTTCGAGTAGTAGACCGGCGCATCAGTCTACTACTCGCTACATCGCCTTCAACATGAAGCTGGTGACTGGTGAGATTGATTGGGCGAAATGATTTCGCCTGTAGCGAGTCCGACTTTCCTGGTTTGGGTAAAACCACTACTCTGACGCCATTGGTATTTATCCTAGGGCTAGGCAGTGTCTGAATATAGCCAGAATCAGGAGATAAAGGTATTCTGGGGCCCTTTGTAGGAATGCCGGAAAAACCTCTTCCTGGCTTGGCGATTTGAATGGTGCAAAGGTCTCTATAGCCCAATTCACCCTTTCGTATGTAACAACCCTGGACGCCATCTTGTAGTCATCAGGATTAGGCCCTCCCACGCATTCAGTATCCCTGATCTGTTGAGGCACCATGCGAGATCCAGGAGAGTACGTCGTCAGGAAAATGTCTAGCGCTTGGTAAGTTACCTGCCAAGTCATGGCATGCTGTTCAACATAAAGATTTTTTTATTTTCAAAAAATTAATATGTACAAAATATTTCTAATGGCGGTCTATTAAATGCATACAAATTATATGTGACAAATAAATTAAATAAACCATTTTCCATTTAACAAAAACGCATAGGAATTATGGAATTTATACTAATCATAACAAAACAAAAAAATATTGAATGTGTAGAAAATGAATAAATAGTTAACTTTCGGTTTATTCCAACCTTGTCATAATCCACTCAGAGTGGTATTATGTATTTACAAGAACTTGCACAGTTTCATCAAACACAATAATAGTTCTCAGTTTAAAGAGATTCAATCAACCTCATCAAGAGACAACATTTAGTAATCAAAAAAATTCTTATACTGAAATAAATAAAATCATTCACAAAACTATCAGACAAATAGTGAGAATCAGGTATAAAATTTTAAAAATAAAATTCTGTTCCTCCTACATTAATTGATTTACCCTCTTTGGCATTATCCGGTAACATTGAGATCTGTCCCTGAAAAGTCAGATTTCATACACAAGGATAAATTTCCTTTGAAAACTTACATGTGGCTTTTTATCCCCCTTTTTCATATGGGCAACACCTAAACACCATGTGCTATGGCCCCACATTAAGGAAACTTCACCATTGGAGTTATTAGCTTTCAATACTAAAGCACCCCCTAGTTTTCCTGTTTTTACATTTTTCAAATACCTATAAAATATAACATTTATTATTTGACTTATCGATTGAACAAAATCTCACCTAGAATTCATAAATTTATTGCTTAGACACCCATGTAAATCAACTGTAGGGCAGACTTTTTCTTCAGCCAAATCTTCTGCAATAGTTTTAGCTAATAAAGTTTGAACTAAATATTCCCCACATCCTGTAGTGCACACTGCTATGCTTGGCTTTGAAGTTTTGTCCAAACTGTCTGCCCATACGCCCGAGCCATATTGGGCAGCTTGTCCCATTCTGCCAGACCGTTTAAGTAGAAGACCACCTAAATTTATCTAAATTAGATTAAATTTTTTACAATCAAAACTATACCTGAACTACATCCTGAGGCTACATTTCTTGTATCATCAATGCAAACAGCCCCAACTGTATCCATCGACTCACTAAATTCAATTTCCACTTCATCGACAAGATTTGTTTGGGTTGAAATGGCTCTGTCTAACAATGCCTTGTATTTTTCTCTTTGTATAAAAGCTTTTCTACTGACTAGTTTGGAATCGCTGACAATTTTGAGGCCTGCTTTTTTTGCGTGCTTGTATGCTCCATCTCCTACTATCATGTTTGGTGCCACAAGACCTGAAATAGTGAAGTTTTATAACCATGTTTCCGTAGTTTATTATCGTGAATAATCAGTACAATAAAAATTGACTATTGAAAATTCTGGAATAATTGAAATTAAGTATATCCTATTTACAATCCGTAGTTCAAAGGTTAAGGTAAATTTATCACCTTTTCCTATCAAATAGCACTGAAAGGTGATAAATTTTACCTTTACCTTTGAACATCGGATTGTGAATAGATAATGTAACCAAAGACCAGTTTCACTTCTATCTTACATGAGTAAATTATTTGAGTGCCTCATCAGTTTCCACCTGATAGATTTTTTTAGATAGTTTCAACATTCTGATGGGAAAAAGTCTATACCGGATGTTTTTTAAATTGAAACCAGCTCATCCCTATAACTTTTTCATTTTTCCAAATAAACAAATGAAATTTGGTGTGCTTATTTATGACCTGGATGTATATTATTTGAAGTATTCAATTATTTATTATCACTTCCGGTGAAACCGACCAGAACTTTCTTATTTTAAATGGGACGCCAGGTAGGTATATTTTTCCTCATTTCAATAGAAAACTACATTACGAACGAAATTAAATAATATCCCTGTGCTCACATGTAAATGTGACAGAAAGTTTTGGATTTCATAGAGAAATGCCTTAAATCTGAAGAATATTTTGAAAATAGACTCCAATCAAAAATATTCATGACATCTTCTATGGTTGAACCAAATCCAAGCGGCAGTAAATAATAAACTGGTTATTTTCATTACAACCTATCAAATGTCCTCCGTGCATGCGCACTATTCCAGGTAGGGCGTTCCAACCAATAGAAAGGCTGGTATTTGTTTACAATTTAGGTTATTTAATGTCATTTACTGCCGCTTGGATTTGGAAATGGTATAGTTTATTTATTTATTTATTTATTTGTTTATTGTCTAACAGGATAAACCCAATAACAAGACAATTATAATTATCTCAAATTAAAGACTAGACAAATGTTATTGTAAACTTAAAACTAGGTTTTGACATATGCTTCATATACAAATACATGAAGTAACTAACTATAGTTTGTAATTAACAATCAAGAGAAAACAGATGTAAATTAAGTATATTAAGCAGCATCAACAGCTTCCCCCAGCAAAACCCCAGGACAAAAAGTTAACCCCAAGCTAATCAGCAATATTCCACAAAAATGCAAGATTCAATAATCAATCAAAACAATCACTAGAGCAATTTAATTCAGGAGAGCATTTTTTATCTGCGATATAATCTTAGTTTTAAATGACTTTACAGTACCATTGAAAAGATCCAACTCAAGTACAATGGGTATTAATTGATTATGCCATGAGCAGGCTCTATATATAGGCGCATTTCTGGCAAGATTAGTATGACAGTTTTCCAGATAAAATTTATGGTGCGTTCGGGTGTTTGCTGCAGGAACCAAAAAATTGAGGCAACTTAATATTTCAGCCGAATCAATTAAATTATTGCATATTTTGAAAATGAACAATTGACTGGCAAGAATTGTACTTTGCTTAAGTGATAAAAAGTTAAATCTTTCTAGTAATAATTTGTGGTCATATCCCCGTGGAGGGTAAATGCCATCCTGCTTAAAGCTTAGGTACTTGAGAAATCTGCGCTGGACATATTCGAGCCTGTCAACATGTACATCATAACTAGGAAACCATATCAGAGCTGCATATTGTAATTTTGATTTTATCAATGAGTTGTACAAGGCAATCAAGCCCTCCGTATTTGTGAAATCTTTTGTAGACCTAATAATAAAGCCAAGTGTTTTCAAAGAAGCTTGAACGATTTGGTCAATATGTTTATTAAAGCTTAGTTTACTGTCGATAATTACCCCAAGGTCTCGTATGGAATCTACACTTGAAAGATTGGTATTTTCAAGTCTATATGCAAACTTCACTTCATTATGAAGTTTGGAAATAGTCATAGAACGGCATTTATTAATATTTAGCGGAAGTTTATTTGTGATACACCAAGAAGACAGGGAGTCAATGTCGTTTTGTAATTCTGAGCAGTCCTGTATGGTGTCAATAATTCTAAAAATCTTCAGATCATCAGCAAACAGTACACAGTTAGATGAGATAGTGTCGGTGATATCATTCACAAAAATAGCGAATATTAGAGGAGCTAGATTGCTTCCCTGAGGAGCGCCACTTGAAGCGCTGAAGTCAGCAAAACGAAAACCGTTGTACTCCACAAACTGTGTTCGCCCACTCAAATATGAGATAAATAGATTCACCAGGTTCCTATGAAACCCAATGTTGTACATTTTCCGGGCAATGAGACCATGATCCAACTTATCGAAGGCCTTGGAAAAGTCAGTATATATGACGTCAAGTTGTTTCCTATTATTGATAGCTTGATAAGCTCTTTGTAGGAAACTTGTAAGATTTGTGATAGTTGATCTCTGTGGGAAGAAGCCATGTTGAGTAGGAGATATTAGGTTTTTAACTTGATGGAAGAGATTGTTGTGAATACAGATTTCAAAGGCCTTCGAAAAGTTGGACAGTATGGAGATAGGTCGATAGTTAGTGATATTATTATTTTGACCTGCCTTAAAGACAGGACAAATCTTAGTTTTTTTCCATTTTTCCGGAAATATATTATTTCTTAAAATTTTATTGAAGATAAGATGTAAGGGCACTGATAGAAACGGTGAGCAATCACGCAATATAAAAGATGGTATTTTATCATAACCTGCAGTTTTTGTATCTTTTAATTTTTTGAGTGCACTGCACACTTCAAGCTGAGAAATATTATTAATGGATATATTTTGAGAGTTGTAGGGCTCGACAGGGTTAATTGAGAAGGGATCTGATGATGCAACATATACACTTTTGAAAAAATTGGCAAATCCATCCACTATGTTTTGCGGGGACTCTAAAGACAATTGGTCCAGAATCATTGATCCTGGTATACGAGATTTTTGCCGTTTTTGCCGGATATATTTCCAAAAATTCTTAGGTTCCCTTTTTATTGATGATTCAGTATTTCTTATGTAAGATCTGTAGGCTTCATCAATTTCTGCTTTAATAGTCTGCCTAAGAGTCGAAAAAAAGTCATAGTCACTTTTTAATTTAGTTTTTTTGTAATTGTTGTGTAGCCTTTGTTTTTGGTTTAAGTGTCTTATTATTTCTCTAGTGTACCAAGATGGATATGAGAACTTATTTTTTGTGTTTACATGGAAAAGAGGGACTGACTGATCAAGAATATTGTAAAATGTCTCGTAAAAGAGATTAACTGATGTATTGACATCTTGTTCATCATCCAAGAAGTTCCAATCTGTTACTGATAGTAACTGATACATAAGTGGATAGTTTGCTCTTTGAAAGTTATAATTTTTATTTGTGTTGCAAGGGAAGTTTCTGGGTAAAGAGCCCATTTGTGGATCAATTTCAATTGTGAGGGTGGGGGTGAGCAAGATCTTCAGGAACTAGGGGTATAGTTTGTCTGTTAATTTCACACTTGATGTTTGTGATGACAAGGTCTATTATGTTACCATAGTGGTTTGGAATATTGTTCAGTTGATCGAAGTCAGTTAAAGCTAGAAAATCTTTTAATTTAAGTGATTTTGTATGAGAGTTGATGTTGAAGTCACCAATTATGATAACTTGATTATTTTGCACAGGCTCATAAGTTGTGAAAAAATCAAATAAGCTCTGATAATGGATTAAAGGTGAATTTGGTTGCATATATATTGTAAAGATATAAATAAAATGGTTCTTAAAATGAAGCTTACAGCCCAAAACATCAATCTCTGGAATCATTTCCTCGAGCTCACTCAAATTCAACTTTGACGCAGTTATATCGTGCCTAATACCAATTAGGACGCCTCCTCCTCTTGTCACGTTCATAGCATCCAAGCTACGGTTTTTCCTGTAGACCACGTAGTTAGCGTTGAATAATTCGTGGTCATAAACCCCATCCTGTAACCATGTCTCCGTAACTACCACCAACTGACTATCACATTGAGATACAGCTTTGAAAAAATCATGTGTCTTACCATTTAAGCCCCTAGTATTTTGATATGTAACTGTAATAATCCTGTCAGACAGACCTATTAGTTTAAATTATTATCATGATGATTGGTAATAATCTTGGGTTGCCCATTCTTGTAAACAATTTTCAAGTTTCTTTCCCCAGCATTTGTGCGTTCTTCTACCTCCTGCTTCAGTTTGCGATAATCCTGTAATTGCTGTGGGGTTTTATCATCGCTAATTGATAAGTGAGCTAGGCTAGGATTGCTCTTTATTTTCCTAGAGTTTCGTATTATTTCATAGGCTATTTGATGCGAATTACATATCACTCTCACAGGCCTATTTTTCCCAGCAACCTCTCTCCCCAGTCTAAAAGCTTGAACTTCTGCAACACCAATCAGGGGCTCCTGATCTGACCTGCATTGGTTAACCACCTGGACAGCAATTTCCTTTGCATTAGTTGTCGATTCGGGGCAGTTAAAAAGAATAAAGTTTTGCTTACGGTTCTCCCTTTCTTTGTATTCCTGAAAAAGACCCTCAATATTCAGCTGTTGCCTGGGCACAGACTCAGACACACTTTTTTCGGTAGTGGCATTTTTGGAAGCTACAATTTCTGACTCCAACGTCTTGATCCTTTGCTCGAGTAATCGGTTGTTGGATTTTAGGATAACATTCTTGTCCTCCATTTCATGATTAAGTAATCTAAGGTAGGTATTTTCAACATTAACTGCACTATCATCACCACTCACTTTTTTGGAATTGACTGCTCGGGCAGTGGATGGGCTACTACTGGACTGAATTTTTGAGAGGTTATCCTCTTTGCAGTTGGGACACCAGAATAAGCAGGTACGATTTTGTAGTAGTAGTACTCGAACTTCTGTTGCGGTTTTTATGCCACTACAGCTCCTGCATATAGGTTCACCACAGGAATCGCAACAGCATCCAAAGATCTGGGTCTTGTCCTCCTTAAAAATGCAAGTTTCTTCGCATACATAGCAGTTTAGCACTTCC